TGTGGACTAGTACGTGTGAGAAAGCACACGTGGTTCTGAACGTTCTAGCAGGGAACGCTTCATAACAGTCAGCAGTAATGGTCATTGTAGCATATGAATTATATTGTTACAATTGGAAAAATGTGTGTGATGGTATTATGTGAATGGTGTTATTAGAGAATGTGAAACCTGACTTAGCAATGGATGGGCACCACACTTAGGCACTTATGGACCACAATATCAGGAAGTCGACATTCCTGAACACCTTCACTATCACTACATTATACTTATTTTGCAATACATGAATACATGGCCTACATCGGCAAACAACTGCAGTGTAGAGAAAAGACTCGAGGCCATCTCATCCTCATGATGGAGATATACATATATAAATTAGATTTCACTTCCCATGACACAAGTATTATAAGTCAGCCACATGAGCAATTCCATTAACATGAGGTGACATTAGCAAGTGATAGCCTGTTTGTGTTCAAATACAGTATGGGCCATCATGAGAGATCTGTGTGGCCCTAATTTTGTATAAAATTTATTTCTGCATGTGATGCCAATCTGAGAAGGGGAATAATGTGCCATCACTTTTGTGAAGGCGATTGACAGATGCTCACAGATGCTTACATGCAACAATTTTCTTTCAGAGCTGATGTATCAATGGATGAATCCTCTTACACCAGAACATGATTTCAGCCAGGACAGAAGCTCAATACAATGTGATGTATCATATAATGCATGGCTCTACTAGCTAAGATGCTTTATAGTGCATGGCTCTACTAGCTAAGATGCTTTACAGTGCACTGCTATGCATTATTATAATCCATTACAGTGCACATTGATGCATCACATGATGCTCTACAGCCAAAGTGATGTATCAGATTCACTGCAAAGTTAAAAACAAATGATGTATTAGAGGGATCCATGATGCATCACTATGATGCATTACAGTGATGTGTAATTTTTAAAACTACTTCATCACAGCATTCCCTGATGAATCAATATGATGTATCATGGCCATGTTGTGTTCACAGGAATTGATACAACAGGACTATCTATATACCGGGAGCCGTTAGCCCCTAACGGCCATGCTCAGAGGGCCCTCCATAGCACATTCAATTCTTGTGCTATGCTCTTCAAAATACCCTCATCTGAAAGCCAGGCTTCGAATCT